TTAATTTTATCTAGTAATAGATTTAGTACATAATTAAAATCTTCACCTACGATATCGTCATAGGTGGAGTAAAAATAATTTTCTAGAGCTGGAAAAACTTTTTTTCTAGGTGTGTCTTTACGTCGCACGCAGATTTTTTGTTTGTTTTTGAATTTCGTGCAACGCTACACGAGGGCTATCTGCATAAGCAGTCTCTAATTCAGCAGTGTAAGACTAGAGAAAAGGCAGCTAGTCATCACTACCCACCGCCGACTCTTGGGCTACTCTTTTACCAACAAATAGTGAGATTGACCGTCACATTATAACGCCCCCACAGCTGAAAGGGCGAGCATGTTTGGCGGGACAGGGATTCAAACCCGCGACCCTCATATTGTGAGTCGAGCGCCCTAACCACCTGGCCATGCCAGGCTGTGTCGCACGTAGATATTAACTGTTCTGATTATTCTTTCATTAAAAGGCTCCAACAGCGGGTCAGCAGTAAGTCTGAAGGCTTATAACACTAAAATCCGGGTTTCGATACCCATGGTTGGCACAGCACAGATAGCCATGTGCAGTTTTGTGCTTAATTACAAGCAATCAAACAAATAAAGCAAAATTTAAACATCAGGTAGACAGAGGTTGCCATACTTATTATGTCTGAAAGAATTATACCTGTCAAATTTGGTTGCATAAGATACTATCTTGGCTACAGAAATGTGTTCTTGTAGGAATAGAATATCAACATGTGCCTATTGATAAAGTGTATTACAAATTCCAGTTTTCTTTCCTTTTTATAATCCTAGGTAGGATATTGAGAGGTATAAGGTAAGCTTACTCAAAAGATGTAGCTTTAAGTATAATGAAAAATGAAAACTTAAAGCCTAGGTAAAAGTAACCATTCTGATGACTTATCATTGTCGTATTTCGTTTTATTGGCGACGGTCTTGTACTAGATATAAGATGTTCCTTTATGTCCTTTTTATCTGGTTGTTTGTTCTGGTATATCGCTTTCCTAAGAGGAGGAGTTGCTGATGTACAGATCCTCTAGGAGGTCAGTAGTGTCGCTGATGTACAAGTCTACTAGGAGGTCAGTAGTGTCGCTGATGTACAGATCCTCTAGTAGGTCAGTGTGCAGCACCTAGAGGCCACTTCTTTGTTACCACTTATTAAATTTCCATGCTGTTGGTTGTTATACTTTCTTCATTACTTTCCATTACCATCTTGTCGTTTTTATCGATTACCAGTATTTTACTGTCGTTGTTTTCGATTTGTCAAATCCTTCAGTTGTTTATCTTCTACAGGAATAGTCTTTAGAAATTAGTGAGTGAAGCTAAGATCTTCTATGAATAGCGTCGGAAAGCACAGTTTCCTTCACACCTTTTACAACGTATTTGATAATCATCTGATTCGTGACCTATTCGGTCATAGCACCCGTAGATTTGGCAAGTTGCGGCGTTTGCAACTAGCACAGAAACGGGCCAAACCAGGATAATTAACTATAACCCGGCACTAGCAGACACAGAAGAAGTTGAGGAATGACTTTGTTATGTCAATCTTAATATGACAGTTTCCGGTCTCCGCTTAGGAGAAGTCCTTACAGATTTCTCTAACTACTACTAAGATCTTACCATGCTCACTTAAACTGTTTTTTACTTTAAGGTTGAAATCATCCAACCCAAGGGTTTTACTCGTAAAAACTTACCAGGTGAAAGTACAACAGAACGTGTACCTACCTAGATCTTGCAAATAAGCAACTGATTTTTCCTTTATTTCATCATGCAATGCCAACGTGACTTCATGAGGCATTGATCCTTCGAGGAACATGAATAGGACAGAGTTTGATCTCCTATAATACTCAAGAGTTGAGGTGCTTATAGCGAAGTTAGGCTACATTGCCACGGATTTTTCCTTTATTTCATCATGCAATGCCAGCGTGACTTCATGAGGCATTGATCCTTCGAGGAACATGAATAGGACAGAGTTTGATCTCCTGTAATACTCAAGAGTTGAGGTGCTTATAGCGAAGCTAGGCTACATGCCACGGATTTTTCCTTTATTTCATCATGCAATGCCAACGTGACTTCATGAGACATTGATCCTTCGAGGAACATGAATAGGACAGAGTTTGATCTCCTGTAATACTCAAGAGCTGAGGTGCTTATAGCGAAGCTAGGCTACACTGCCACGGATTTTTCCTTTATTTCATCATGCAATGCCAGCGTGACTTCATGAGGCATTGATCCTTCGAGGAACATGAATAGGACAGAGTTTGATCTCCTATAATACTCAAGAGTTGAGGTGCTTATAGCGAAGCTAGGCTACACTGCCACGGATTTTTCCTTTATTTCATCATGCAATGCCAGCGTGACTTCATGAGGCATTGATCCTTCGAGGAACATGAATAGGACAGAGTTTGATCTCCTATAATACTCAAGAGTTGAGGTGCTTATAGCGAAGCAAGGCTACACTGCCACGGATTTTTCCTTTATTTCATCATGCAATGCCAGCGTGACTTCATGAGGCATTGATCCTTCGAGGAACATGAATAGGACAGAGTTTG